ACCGGACAGAGCCGCAGCGGGGGCGGGGGCGGGGGCGGCAGCCATGGACGCGGCCGGCGTGGATGAGCGATCGCCTCAGCTGCCGGCGCCCCACTCGGGCGGCGTCACCCCTACTGCGCCGCCGCGCTGGCCGGAGAGCGGCCACAGAACTGAGGCCTCGCTGCGCAGGGGCTACCCGCGCTCTGAGCCCACGAGCGCTGCGCGCAGGGCTTCGGGGGGCCGGAAAAGCGCGCACCCGCCTCGCCCCTTCACCCTGGGCCTTGGCCGGTTCCTGGCCATGCCGAAGGTCTGGGTGGGCGCTCTCGCATCCTGGGACTGGACAGGCCCCGGGCCACCCGCCTCCCCGGTCTTGGCCGCTCCGCAGGACCCCAACCCGGGTGTGGTCAGCCATCCTCTCGGCCACCTGGGCACCTAGGCAGGTGCGGCCTTGCCACGTCCCGACCCGGCCCTGACCCAGACCCAATACTCCCCTGCGCTCCCCGCCGTGGCCGAGCCCGACCTGCCCAAAACCACGCAGAGACACCGGCGAAACCACCAGGCAACGCTTCGGCCCGCGACCGCGCCCTCCACCCAGAGCCCTCGGCCCTTGGGGCTCAGCCCCGCGGAGCCCAGGAAGGGAAGGGCCCCTGAGCGGAGAGAGAAAACAGCCCAGGGCAGGAGAGCAGGCCTTGGCGGGTTCCCGGCGGTGCTGGAGGTCTGAGTGGGCCCTCTCGCATACCAGGACTGGCCAGCAAAAAAAACTTCTCATGATGACATACACTCATCATTTATTCTCAGGATACACACTGGATGGCAACAAATAATAACTTTTCATAATAACATACATTCATGTGTTACTCAACTGATGCCCAGTATGACAGCACAGAATAAATTTTTTCTGAAGATATACGCTTGGATGCTATTCCTAAAATGTCCACTACATGGCAGCAGAAAATGCCTTTTTATTAATAGTACTCTAATGTTATTCCCAAGATGCACACTACATGGTGGCAGAAAATGAATTTTCATGATGCCGAACACTCCGATGTTATTCCTAAAATGCCCACCAGATGGCGGCAGAAAAGAAATTTTTCTAACGACATACATCAGGGTATTATTTTCAAAATGCCCCCGAGATGGCAACGGTGAATAATTTTTCATGAAATGCAGTCCTGCGTTATTCCCAATGTTCACACAAAATGAGAGAAGATAGAAAATTCTAAACAATATGCCCTTCAGTGTTATTTTTTATATGCACACGAGACAGCAGCAGAAATAAGTTTTCATGACATGCACTGTGGTGTTACTCCCGAAATGCAGACCAGATCGCAGCAGAAAATGAATGTTGATGGTGACCTACACTCGGGTGTTCTTCCTAAAATGCCCAGGAGATGGTAGCAGAGAGTAATTTTTTTTATTATTATTTCCACTCTGAAGTTATTCCAAGATGCAAAGTGGATGAAAGCAGAAAATATATTATTATGATGGCATACACTGGACTGTTATTCCTAAAAATGCCCACAGGATGGCAGCATAAAGATTAATTTTTATGATGATATACACTAGTTTGTAATTTTCAAAATGGCATGAGGTGGCAGCAGAAAGTAGTTTTTCATTACATGCACTTCCCTGATTTTTCCCAAGAGGCACATGAAATGGCCACGGACTGTAACTTTTCGCAACGACATGCCCTTGGGCATCCTTTTCAAAAGGCACACCAGATAACAGCTGAAGTTATTCTTTATGACATGCGCTGTGATCTTCTTCGCAAAATGTCCACCAGATGGCAGCAGAGTCTAACTTTTCATGACATGCTCTTCTGTGTTATTCCCAAGATTCACATCAAATAACAGCAGAGAAAAATTTCATAACGACACACCCCGGGGTGTTATTTTTTTAATGCATACTAACTATAGCAGCAGAAGCAAGTTTTCGTGAAATACGCTGTGGTGTTATTCCCCAAATGCCCACCAGATGGCAGCAAGAATAAATTTTATTATACTCGTGTTATTCTCAAGGCGCACAATAGACGAAGGCAGATAACGAATATTTACGGTGACCTACACCAGGTTTTATTCCTGAAATGTCCACCAAATGGCAGCAAACAGTAACTTTTTTTTTATTTCATGCATTCTGGTGTTATTCCCAAAATGCCCACCAGATGGCAGCGGTAAATAAATTTTAATGATGACATACACTTGGGTGTTATTTTCAAATTACCCACGAGATGGCAGCGCAGAGAAAACCTTTTCATAATGACATGCCCTGGGTGTTATTTTCAAAATGAACATGAAAAAGCAGCAGAAATAACTATGAGCAGCCATATCATGTTATTCCCAAATTGCCCACCAGATGGCAGCAGAGAACGAATAGTCATATGACCTATACTTGATGACCTATGTTAAAGTGTTATTCCCAAAATGCACACGGGACGGCAGCAGAGGATAACGAATCACATTTCATGACCTAAACTCTGGTGCTATTTCCAAAACACACACGAGATGGCAGCAGAGGACAACAAATAACTTTTTATGGCATACACTGGGGTGTTATACCCAAAATGCACACCAGATGGCAACGGAATAGCTTTTCATATTGACAC